TTCTGTGTCTACAAAGCTATAGTAATCAAAACACAAAAGCAGAACTATAGATCAATGGAACAAGAAAGCCCAGAGGTAAACCTATGTACCTATGGTCACCTAATCTACGACAATGGAGGCAAGAATATACAATGGAGAAGACAGTCTCTTCAAAGATTGGTGCTGGGAAAACCGGATAGCTACATGTTAAAGAATGAAATTAGAACACTCCCTAACACTATACAGAAATGTAAACTCAAAATAGATTAAAGATGTAAATGTAAGGCTGGACACCATGAAAACTCTTAGAGGAATACATAAGCAGAATACTCTTTAACATAAATCACAGTAAGATCTTTTTTGCCTTATTTCCTAGAGTAATGAAAATAAAAACAAAAATAAACAAATGGGACCTAATTAAGCTTAAAAGCTTTTGCATAGCAGAAGAAACTATAAATAAAATGAAAAGAAAACCCTAGAATGGGAAAAAAATACTTTTTCATATTTTTAGTGTTCCTAGGGAAAAAGCATTCTTTTTCAAGGAAAGGACTCAGATAAAGAAGTCAAACTTCTGGATTTGAATTTCAATACTACCCTGTGAGCCCTTGGACAATCATTTTTTTCCCCTTCATTATCAGTTAGCTCACCTGTAGAATGGGGACAACAACCTTTAACTCATTGGATTTTTGTAAGCAGTGAGGCAGTGAGTTAATCTCCATAAACTGCTTAGCATTCTGCCTGATACATATTATATGCTCAATAAATATGAACTATTTGCATGATTAGTTATCATTATAAATGTACCTATGATATTTATCACGACAATATCATTTTTGACATCAAATGAATAGATGGTTAACAAATTCATTCACAAATATTTATCAAATATTTACTCTGTGCCAAGCATTATTATAGGTACTGAATATATATAGCACAAACAAAATATATCAGTATCTGTAGTCTCATGTGATTTCAGCCTGGTGGGAGGCAGGCAGAACAGAGAATAAAAAAATCAACATGTACTCTAACAGAATATATCCTTTGTCAGATGATGATAAATAAATGCTATGGGGAAAACTGACACCCGAGTGAGACAGGGAGCATTGTGGGAGGAGAGATCGCAATTCAGCATAGGCTAGGTGATCAGGGAAGTCTTCCGGCATATGGATGGCATTTTCTCCTAAGGGGTTGAAAGACCTGGGCTAGGTTGCCAGACTTAGCTAATAAAAATACAGGATGTCTAGTTAAATTCAACCTGACATCCTGTATTTTATCTGGCAACCATGCCTAGGGATGGGGGAGTAAGAAGGAGTCAGAGTTTTCTTTTGGGATAAAGGACAAATGAGTTTCACTGATAAGTTCTGATGGGGTAGGGCTCAGGCATGGTGTGAAAAGGTCCTGCAGGTCTGGGGCTCACTTGCAACTGCTGCAGAGAAGGGGGCCAGGCTCCCTGACTCTGAGCACTGAGGTTCTGAGATTTCCCTCGATTCTTGCCTTTGAGTGGGTGGGAAGTGGAACAAGTGGAATTTGACTTCCTCTTAACTCCTATGTGTTTCTTGGGGTCATGGCAAGCTAAGCTGAAAATGATCTGAGATGTCAGGTTAGACAATCCTCAGAAAACAGACCGAGGAACATCAAATGTGTTGCTCAACACTGTGAACATAGCGCCTCTCAGAACCTTGGATTATCGACGGAGATGTTGCAAGAAAAAAATTCTCCATGTACAATTTTCCATTGTTTTCCTCTGTAATTTTTCATTTGGGGTTGAGGATAGCACAATTTTCCCCAGAAGGAGGATTTCAAAAATGAGTAGTGGTAATTTCTACCATACAATGTAATTCTCTCAAAGATCCAATGCTGTCTGGTACACACAGTAAGGGAAAAGTTGGCTTCATCTCAGCTCAGGACTAAAGGGTGGTACTGCTGATTACTGTATGAAATTGAAAGATGGTACCAGTTCCATCTTAAAAAGGGGGGCATGGTTTTATTAGTTTTTGAAAGTTAAACTTCTAGATTAGTGCCTAGTACATTATAGGTACTCTGTAAATATGAATATGAATAATGGATAAGGATTTGCAGAATTAGAAGATTTTCTTAAAATCAAAACTTAATTTTTGTTAAATCACTTTGAAATAATGCTTATTTGCATTGCCCCTGCCTAAAATAAGTGTGTTAGAGAAGTTTTCTTGCAGGTGCTGAAAAAAATGTCTGTCATAGCAGTTCAGAAAATAGGCCCAGATAATCCTCACTTCATACTTCCTGGCTGTGTGACTTTTCCTTATCTTTGTACCTCAGTCCCCTCTTCTATAAAATAAGGGCACAATAATATGAGTATCATACTAGTGTCTCCTTTCTTATCAGATTATTGAAATTAGTCAATATGTAAAACATTTAGATCAGTACCTGTTGCACACAAGGCACTCTACTAATCTTAATCTTTATTAGCCCTACTATATGTATATTATCTCCTATAATGCTTAACAGGCTTCCCTGGTGGCTCAGATGGTAAAGAATCTGCCTGTAATGAAGGATACCTGGGTTTGAACCCTGGGTTGGGACAATCCCCTGAAGAAGGGAATAGCAACCCACTCCAGTATTCTTGCCTGGAGAATTCCATGGACTGGACAGAGGAGCCTGGCAGGCTACAGTCCATGGGGTCGCAGAGAGTCGGACACGAAAGGACAACTAACATAATGCTTAGCACATTGTCTCAGATCTATAAGATTGTGTGTGCATGCTCAGTTGCAACTCCTTGCAAACCCATGGACTTCATTTGGCCAGGCCCCTCTGTCCATGGAATTTTCCAGGCAAAGATACTGGGGTGGTTGTGATTTCCTTCTCCAGGGATCAAACCCAGGTCTCCTGTGTATCCTGCACTGGTAGATGGATTCCTTACCACTGAGCCACCTGAGAAGCTCATCTAAAAGACTACTGAGTGACCACCTAATGTTCATATATCAGAAAAAATTTAAAATGATTTACTATTTAGAGTCCTTCTGAAGATATTGCAAAATAGTATAAAGTACCACTGCTTGACTAGTCTAGTCATTAACAGCCTAGAAAGAGAGGAGGCTAAACAATTACAAGGATAAATAAACCTCTATCACTGACCTCTCTCCAGCTGAAGAGCAAACATATTTATGTGGGAAGAACACAATGTCTTCCCCTTTTAATATGGGTCATGTCCACCTTGGCAAGTTTAGGGCCTCTGAGCTTTTGTTTGGGGAAGTCAAAGAAAATTCAGCTGAGAATAAGGTGGAAGAGTGACTCACCAAGCTATGTGCTTGCACCATTTTCCTTCCCACCTGTGCCTGTGGACAAAGTACAACGCAGAGGTAAGGGACTCCAGACTGAATCTGCTGCAGTTTGGCTTTCTCACTCCTATGTCAATAAATCTACATTGGCTAAATTTTGGGGTGTTTTTCCTACTAGTTAAAATAAACTCAATGATTCTTTCTCAGCTCTCCTCTGATTCTTTGAAGTGTTTCCCAAATGCTGTCCTTTGTGAAAGTACTGTATCATGGGAATGTAAAACACTCCCTCCACCCCTACCCAGACTGTTGCCTTGGGCTGTTCCTCTTTCCTTCTCACTTCCCTGTAGTGGCTCTTCTTAATTTCCCTGTTACATATTTATGGTTCCCAGTGTTCTAATATTTAGATTTATTTTCTTCATATAATTTCACCTTCATCCATGTTTTACTAGTATCACATATTAACAAGTGTTGCTGTTGTTGTTCAGTTGTTAAGTCATGTCTGACTCTTTGTGACCCCATGGACTACAGCTCACCAGGCTCCCCTGTCCTTCACCATTTCCTGGAGTTTGTTCAAATTCATGTCCACTGAGTCAGTGATGCTATCTAACCATCTCATCCTCTGCCGCCCCCTTCTCCTTTTGCCTTCAATCTTTCCCAGCTTCAAGGTCTTTTCCAGTGAGTTGGCTGTTTGCATCAGGTGGCCAAAGTATTGGAACTTTAGCATCAGTCCTTCCAATGAATATCCAGAGTTGATTTCCTTTAGGATTGACTGGTTTGATCTCCTTGCAGTGCAAGGGACTCTCAAGAGTCTTCTCCAACACCACAGTTCAAAAGCATCAATTCTTCAGTGCTCAGCATTTTTTATGGTCCACCTCTCACATCTGTACATGAATATTGGAAAAACCATAGCTTTGACTAGACAGACATTTGTCAGCAAAGTGATGTCTCTGCTTTTCAATACACTGTGTAGGATTGTCATAACTTTCTTTCCAAGGAGCAAGCGTCTTTTAATTTCATGGCTGCATTCACCATCTGTGGTGATTTTGGAGCCCAAGAAAATAAAGTCTGTCACTGTTTCCATTTTTTCCCCATCTATTTGCCATGAAGTGATGGGACCAGATGCCATTGATCTTAGTTTTTTCATGTTAACTAGTGAAATAGGCTAATGGACTCTAAAGATATCAGATCCTAATCCCTGGAACCTGTAGACTTACTTTGTAGATATGATTAAGGTAAAGGTTTTGTGTAAAGTGATAAGTCACTTTAGTTGTGTCCAACCCTTTGCAACCCTATGGACTGTAGTCCGCCAGGCTCTTCTGTCCATGGGGTTCTCCAGGCAAGAATACTGGAGTGGGTTGCCATTTCTTCCTCCAGGGATCTTCTCAAACCAGGGATTGAACTCAGGTCTCCTGCATTGGCAGGCAGGTTCTTTACCACTAGCACTACCTGGGAAGTCACATAGAATACTGGTATGGGTTGCCATTCCCTTCTCCATGGGATCTTCCTGACCCAGGGATTGAACCCAGATCTCCTGAATTACACGTGGATTCTTTACTGTCTGGGCCACCAGGAAAGCTAGATGGGGGGCAGTTATCCTGGATTATTCTGTATTATCCAGGAGGGTCCTCAGTGAAATCACCTGTGACTTTAAGAGAGTGCAGGCGATGGATATGTGAAACAGTTGGCAGAGAAGAACACAGTGTGTAGCAGAGATTGGGATGATGACATCACAGTACCGGAAGTACTGGCAGCCCCCAGAAGCTGAAAGAGGCAGGAATCAGATTGTCCCTGAGAGCCTCCAGAGCGAGGAAGCATGGTCTGCCAGCACTGTGACTTTGGCCCAGGGATACTGATTTTGGACTTCTGGCCTCCAGAATTGTGAGAAAGTAAATTTCTATTGTTTTAAACTCCAAGTTAGGGACTTTCTTTGGTAGTCTAGTGGATAATACTCTGTGCTCCCAATGCAGGGGACCTGGGTTCAATCCCTGGTCAAGGAACTAAGACCCCACATGCCATAACTATGCCTGCATGCCTCAGCTACTGAGACTGCACTCCACAACTAGAGAAGCCCATGTCCCACAACAGAGACCCAGCACAGCCAAAAAAAAGATGATAATAATAAAGTCAGATGATTGTACAACTCAGTGAAGATACTAGAAACTACTGAACTATATTTTTAAAGTGTAAATTCATAGTTTATCAATGATAGCTCAATAAAGCTGTTCTTTAAATAAATAAACAAACCCCAAGTTAAACAGCAGCCACAGAAAACTAATACAACTGGAAAGTCTAAAATGTATGTCTGTAATTATCACTTCCTTTCTGGTGCCAAATCTACAAAAACCAAAGACCTCTGGACATCTTCACCAGATTTTCCATTTAACATTTGAGCAAGCGTCTTTTAATTTCATGGCTGCAGTCACCATATATCATTTGATTCTCATTTAATACTCACCCTGACCTGATGAAATACTTTGTTGTCCTCACATTAGAAGAAGGGACCTGAGATAGAATTTAAGCTGGCCCAAAGTTGTAAAGATGTTACAGGCTAGAGCTGGGATTTGGGTCCCAGTGTAGTCTGGCTTCAGAGTCAGTCACTAAGGGCAGCGAACTGCAGCCTCAAATTAGCAGATGTCTCAGGCTACTCAGAGCCTGTCCCACATCCACACACCAGTGTCCAGGCTCTCTCAGAATGGATCACTTCAGTTGGAGTCAGAAAACCTTTACAGAACCCCTACAGCCTGCTGGGCACTCTGCGCATCCACCTGACCAGAGGCAATCCACTGTTCTTGTTCAAATACCAAACCATCTGAGGCAAGAACATTTCCCAAATTTCATGCAATTTCAGAGTCAGACCCTATATCTGTGAGAATGATCTGAATCTGATCTGAATTATTGTTGCCTCCTAAAAGCCTCATGTTTACTAACAAACTCTGTTTGTAGAATGCTGTTGTTGTTATGTTGGCATGGTTGCTTTCACTGTGCTGCTACTGGGTCCTGGGGCAAAGTAGAGATGCTGAAACTGCAAGCATCACCCCTTAGTATTTCCAGAGTTCTACCTTCCTTCCATGCCATGTGGGGTGCATCTGGAGGCCCTAGACCCCAGCTTTCTAATATTCCCCTCTTGTTCTTCCCTTATAGTTATACTTGAAATGTGGCCAATAAGTACAATGGCTCCAGTATCTTAGTCATCTGCTGGGTGCCAAGTAGTCTACATGTACTGTCCATCTAATCCTTCTCACAATTCTGCAAGGCAAGTATTATTAGTGTCATTTTAGAGATGAGAAATCTGAGGCTTAGGGAGGTGAACTAATTTGTCCAAGCTCACACAGCTTCTTGGTGGCAGGGTAGAGGTAGGATTTAAAGAATCAGACAATTAAAATGATTAAATTAGATTAAAACATTTCTTAACATAACCTAAGTTGCTTCTTCAGGTTGCCTTGAGCAGTGCTAAAGGAGGGGCTGGAGAGAACAAGCTACATGGTTCAGGAAAATCCCCCCTCAATTCCCCAGGGAGCCAGGTATCATGATTTCTGCCTCTGAGATTGCCTTATGCTTGGCACAAATGACTTTAATAATGATACTGATACAATATTGATGACATTTACATAAGTCTTTCTAGGTTACTGAGTGCATGTGTGTGTACTCAGTCATTCAGTTGTGTTCCACTCTTTGTGACCCCCTGGACTGTAGTCCACTGGGGTCCTCTGTCCATGGGATTTCTGAGGCAAGCACTAGAGTGGATTGCCATTTCCTCCTCCAGGGGATATTCCTGACCCAGGGACTGAACCCGTGATTTCTGCGTCTCCTGCAATCCAGGTGGATTCTTTACTGCTGAGCCATTGGGGAAGCAAGTTACCGAGTACTTTAGCATGACAGAGCTCTTCTTACAGGCTGGGGAAGGATAAAACTTCTTCTTCTTTTTCAGAATTCTGTGCTGAGATATTCACTTTGTGAAGTCCCAGAAATTTAAATCTTCTGGGACTCTCATTTGCTGAAGCATCACAGGTGGTACACGGTGGTAAAAGAATCTGCGTGCCAATGCAGGAGATGCAGGTTTGATTTCTGGATCAGGAAGATCCCCTAGAATAGGAAACTCCTGTATCCTTGCTTGGAAAATCCCATGGACAGAGGAGCCTGGTGGGCTACAGTCCACGGGGTTGCAAAGAGCTGGACACAACTGAACATGCATGCAGGTGGTAAGATGGTAATGTTTTTGTAAAATTTGAAAAAAATAGAACACTTTAACCACATTAGTTAAGGTTGTTCTCTCTTTCCATCTGGAATTCCTCTTCACATCCCTTCATGTTGGGTGGTGTCAGATTGACTGTGGACATTTGGGTATTTGGCTAATGACAAACTGAAATTAGGATCCTTTTAGTTTGGGGTGAAAGTGAAAGTGAAAGTCACTCAGTCATGTCCTACTCTTTGTGACTCCATGGACTACAGTCCATGGAATACTCCAGGCCACAATACTGGAGTAGGTAGCCTTTCCCTTCTCCAGGAGATCTTCCCAACCCAGGGATTGAACCCAGGTCTCCTGCATGGCAGGTGGATTCTTTACCAGCTGAGCCACAAGGGAAGCCAAGAATGCTGGAGTGGGTAGCCTATCCCTTCTCCAGTGGATCTTCCCAATCCAGGAATCAAACCGGGGTCTCCTGCCTTGCAGACGGACTCTTTACTAACTGAGCTATCAGGGAATCCCAAGTCTGGGTTGAGTGGGATATATTTACATGGGTTGCAGTCACTTCTAGGTGTAGCTAAGTTCTGCTACCTGTTCTCACCCAGGAACACTGGCTGAAATGCTCTCACTGCCCACTCATTTGTGGTCATGGAATGAAGACACTGGGTTAGATATTGAAATGTGATCTGAGTGTGTCCTTCCAGTGCCACAATTATGTGGATATAGAGGATAAACAGGGTTTGAAATGTCCAGTGCCAGAAGCCCATCTAGGGAAAGTTCTTCAAATTATCCTATGTGAAAAACTGTAGGCAAAGGTTTTGGTTCTCATGGATGTGGTTAACTCAGAAGTTCTCTCTTATCAGGAGATTCATGAGGGAGCAATCACAGTAAGCAACAACAACAACAAAAAAAAGAAAACCAAGAAAAATACCAATATACTATAGGGTGTATCCATAAGGCAATTAAAACATTACTTTTACAGATTTTATTTGTTTATGGATTTTAGATAGCAATGTTTGTCAGCTTTTTAAAAAAAAGTTATTTTATTTTTGGATGCACTGGGCTTTTGTTGCTGTATGAGGGCTTTCTCTAGTTGCAGTGAGCAGGGGCTGCTCTCTAGTTGCAGTGCATGGGCTTCTCATTGGCTTCTTTTGTTGTGGAGCACAGTCTCCAGGGACATGGACTTCAGTATTTGTGGTGTACAGGCTTAGTTGACCCACAACATGTGGAATCTTCCCAGACCAGGGATTGAACCCGTGTCCCCTGCATTGGCAGGCAGATTCTCTACCACTGGACCACCAGGGAAGTCCCTTGTTGGCTTTTTAACTGTAAAGTTTGTGGTGATTTATTTTTATTATTCTAACTAGTCACATTCATATTTATTATTTTGTACTCTTTCTATTACATGGAAAAAGGCTCCTATGAGTGTATAAGCTTCAGCTCTCACAGATCCTGTATCTGCCTCTGTCATTGTGACTTTTAAACATGCACTAACTAATCGGACCCTTCATGAATGATTGATGGCAGAAGAAAGGTGGAAGAATCCAGACCTATGGGCTACCAGGGGAGAGGTCTTGGAACTGATCTGGGACAGAGGCTCTCTGCCTCTGGTGAGTGATCTGGCCACACACTCTGCCTGGTCCCCATGCCTTACCTACACTATGACATTTTTTTCCAGCAAGGCCAATCTAATGAACAAGCAGCTGTCATCACTTCAGAGCCTTCCCCCACCTGCTACCATGTCTCTTCTCTACCTCCTACAAGGCCTAAATTTTAGAATTATAGGTACATTCCTTTGGGTTCAGAAAGCTTTTCAGTTTTCAAGCAAATGTTCTTAAAATCAGTTTCATCATATGACAGTATTAAGTATCCCTTAGTCATGAGGCTTAGGAGATGCAGACTTGGCAATTTTTGAAAATCTACTATGTATCAGGCCTTATTTTGTGCACAATATCATGCCTGGTCTCAGTCCACTCTCCAACAGAAGATGCTTAGAAGGGCCACTAAATACTGGCTGAAGAAGATTCCACAGAAATTAAGACACAAAAAGGGTTAAATTGCAAATTAGGAGACAAAGGCTTAAAAAATTTCGGGCATTTCACAATCATGTCTTGATCCAGCCCTGCTTTTTATTGTTTTCCCCCAACTTCCATAAAATGCTTACTATTTTTCCCAATCACAGAGGGCAGGGCAGAATATGCTCTACACTATGCAGGATACAAAAAAATAACCCCTAGGCAATGAAAGTATGCTCATTCAGCATAAGGAACATAATTGACAACAAAAGCTAAATGACACCTGGATTTCAGCAAAAATCAGTTATCAGGGGAGAAAGGGTTTTCAAGACAACTAGAACCAGACAGTTAAACATTAGCTTTCAATGGTTTGAAGTGTTTAGGTTTTGCAATGGTGTGGTTTGGAAGGTCTCCAGCAGAAAAACTATTTTCTTTTAGGAGGAGAGCTCTCTGTAATATTTTCTTTGCTGAAATGATGTGATCCTTAGTGACGTCTTATATGACCCAAACTTTAAATGAGTCCATTATTTAGCCGACCTCATTCTTACTAGGTTTTTACAGGTCAGCAATGAACTATCAACAGCTTCCTGATAATTAATCCTACTTACTCAAAGAACTGTTAGTCTGCTGTTCTTATCTATGCTAAAAGGAAGACTGTTAAAGGCACCAGACTTTCTCAGTGAATAATACAAGCCAAACTGAAATTCTGCAGAAAGGGCCAACATTGTGAGGTTTGAGAATGAAAAGCCAGATTGAAAATGATGATGCTACCTTGTTCTCAGTGCCTTATTTTCTGAAATTCTGTGGTTCGTCTGGCATAGGAATGGCTTTATAGTAGAGTCAGCAGCATAACTAGTTGGGCTGGGAGAGGCTCTCTGGGTGGCTTTATCAAAATGTATGGACATTCAGCACATGCAGTTAGTTACCTGGGTGGTCCAGTTTGAGAAGCAACAGGGCAGGCATCCCAAGTAGCAACTTGTCAAGTTCCCAGTGGAAGTTAATTTCCTACAATTAGAGACTCATTCCTTTGACTACGAATTCTTTAAGAGTCTACTATTAGAATACTACTATGGTCTTTGGTTGTCCCCTACTCCAAAGCCATGACAAGCGTCTGATAGGAGGGGAGAGAGGCAGGTTTTTACAACTGATGCAGAGGATTCCAGGAAGAAGAAAGGTGATGGAATAGCAAGCTTGCTATGGCAGAGGAAGTAGGGAGTTAAAGCTGCTCTCATCTAGCAATTTGTAAATAGGTCGTTTGAACATATGGGTCTTAACATGTTCCTAGATTGTGGGTGTGTGTATATGTGTATGTAAAATGAAAAGGCTCACTATTAGATTCTGCCTCTCGTCAGCACAGTACAAAGTTCCTCAGGCAAGGGCATGATTTATAATTAAAGGATTTCTGAATTTGCTAATTGCCCATGGCATGTACCCTTTCTTTCCAAGGCAAGCTTCTGAATTTCAATGATGATTTATTATAAATCTATTTCTCATCAGGTCGGAGACTATCCCAAATAGCAGATTAAATTCAAGCTGCTCAAGCAGATATGGATGGAGACACTCATTTAGATGACCTTCTCTAAGAGAGGTCATTATATCCTGTATTAGGTAAATGAAACATAAACATGGCATTTGACCCAAGGCACAATACATTCTTTATCACTCACTATGGTGATGGGGAGGAGGGCCTGGCCACCTGGAGGAGGGTGTGGCAACTCACTCCAGTATTCTTGCCTGGAGAATCCCCATGGATAGAGGAGCCTGTCAGGCCACAGTCCATGGGGTCGTACAAAGTCGGACATGACTGAGCAACTAAATACAAGGTGATAATGCAAGTTTTTGAATATTTAGTTGTGGGGTGGTGACTTTGTTCATTAAACCAAAGGAAGGTCAGACTGCATTGCCAAGAAGCTCAACAAAACTAGTATCATCACCTCAGAAGAGCAAAGAAAGTCTCAGAAGAAATGAAGACTGAATTTAATAGACATAGAATCTAATATTTCCTTCCCTTCATGCTACTTTTTTGGTAGATATTCTGAATCCATTTATAAACACCATCAATGATGATCCTTCAATGGAGAGATCCATCAATGATACAGAAAAGCAGTGTCTAGTTGAAAGGTAAGAGAAAGACCTATTGGTGACCATTAGGTTATGCTACAATTCTTTTTAAGTGTAGTCTTTTTAAAAATGGCAGGTTATCTGTCATTTTCCTATATCTATGATACAATCCTATTAAATTATCATTCTGCGCAAGTTACTAGAAATAATTTCTTGAAGAATAGAATATAAATAAAGGAATGCAATGTTGTTGTTGTTTAGTCATTAAGTCATGTCTGACTCTTTGCAACACTGTGGACTGTAGCTTGCCAGGCTCCTCTGTCCATGGGATTCCCCAGGCAAGAATCCTGGAGTGAGTTGCCATTTCCTCCTCCAGGGGATCTTCCTGACCCAGGGATTGAACCTTTGTCTCCTGCATTGGCAGGTGGATTCTTTACCACTGAGCCACCCGGGAAGCCCATAGGAACGCAATACTTAAAATATATAATAGAATGCTGTCTCCTTTCTCTTTCTGTCCTTTCTAAGTTGATCTCTTCCATCTCTATATATTTGAGGACATTTTTATGATGAAGACTCCTCTTTTGGCTGCATCTACTGTCGCCATCTTGGTATTCACCGAGGGTTTCTTGGATCACTGTTGTTGTTTAGTCATTAAGTCGTGTCTGACTCTTTTGCAGCCCCATGGTCTGTAGCTCACAGGGCTCCTCCGTCCATAGAATTCTCCAGGCAAGAGTACTGGAGAGGGCTACCATTTCCTTCCCCAGGGGATCTTCCCAACCCAGGAACTGAACCCATGTCTCTTGCATTGTAAGTGTATTCTTTACCACTGAGCCACCATGGAAGCCCCATGGATCACCATTCATAGTGATAAACCCACTTCATGGTACAATCAACTACTTGTGTATCTATAGGAATATGCATAAGAAACTGAGAGAAAATATCATGAAGTGATAAGATAGCCTCTGATATTTCCTATTGCACATCATTCTATTTCACTGATATTGCTGTTCAACACCACCAAAATGATTGTGTGACCCGTAGTTTGAAAACAATTGTTGAAACCAGCATCACCATTTGCCCAGATCTATGCAGCAGCCTATTAGTTGGCTTTCCTTTTTCTATATTTCCTTCTTTGATTCCCTATTCCATAGAGCAGTAAGGAGACTCTCAAAAGATAGAACAGAACATATAACTCCCCTACACAACCCCTTCAGTGGCTTCTTGCCTTCATAGCAAAGTTCAAACTCTTCATTGTGGCCTATATTATAGAGCCTTTGACTTTATCCAGCCTTATCTTATGACCTCTCTCTTCCTCAATATATTCTGGCCCTCCATAACTTGTGTTTGTACCTCCAGGACTCCAGATTCTTGCTGCCTTGTATAAGCCACTCCAGCTGCCAGGAATACTCATTCCCCAACTTCTCTTGGCTAGCCATTGCTTATCCTTTAATTCTTGACTTAATTATTTTCTCTACAGAGAGCCCTTTCTTTACCACCTTTGTTAGAACCAATTGCTCCTTCTTATTATCTATTTCAGCCTATTGTTTGAACATGTACCACATTAGAAAAATCAGGAAAAAATATGGCAGCTAGAACACTCTGATTAACACACAGGACGGGGTGGTGGGAGGAGAACCCAGAGAAGAAAATTGCGCAGCATTTGGGGGCTGGTGCACAGTCATCCTAGGATCAAAAACTTGAAGTTTGGAAGTGTGATTTTATGTGAAGCATCTTGACTTTTAATTTTAATCTAGTACTGAATCACATTAATTTTGAAAAAGCTACATGTCTCTATTGTACCAGAAGAATGAAGGAAAGGAAGGATGTAGTTATACATAGGCCAACAATTTAAAGAGAAGCTGTCAGGTCACAGAATTGGTGATGACGGAGGTAATCAAAGTGACAGACTATACAGAAAGACAGTGCTTAGGTAAATGGGTCAGAGGCTGCCGCTAGAACCACCTCCTGCCAGCTGGCTGTTCTTCTTGAGAGTTCTTCTTGGCTCAGAACTTAATTCAAGGATTTCATGTTGTGTTTTAATAAGGAAGATGTTTCTATCCTTGAAACATCTCTTCCCTAACTTTGGAGATCCTTCCTGTTACAGAGATCATAGGTAACCTGCCAGTTTAGTACATTGGCAGTCCTGTTCAATAGGCACTGTGAATTTAGTCCTTTTGAAGGCAAAAGGAGAAGGGGATGGCAGAGGATGAGATGGTTGGGTGGCATCACTGACTCAATGGACATGAATTTGAGCAAACTCTGGGAGGGAGTGGATGACAGATGATCCTGGTATGCTACAGTCCATGTGGTCACAAAGAGTTGGACATGACTGAGTGACTGAACAACAACAGAACTTAGTCCTAGGCTCTAACAGTCCCCACCTCTAACCCAGCAGTTCCAGATCTACAAGCAGATTTTGTACATGGTGTCACCCCTCACCAGCAGCCAGCTGGAGGATGGATATACCTGTTTAGGAGTCCAGGTGACAGTTGGAATCAGATACATTTAACTGGGCCTCAAGGTAGATGTCTGAGAGAGAATTCCCTGAAGCCAGAGATTGGGAGCATCATCTGAACCTCTCAGGGCCTGATCCCCAAGAGAGCCCACGAGTCCCCTGCCCCGCCCCCCCCTGCCATCACGGGCTTCTGCTCCTAAGCATTAGGTCCCATCCAGCTCCTGTGGAAGAGTTAGTTTGCAAAATACCAGACATGCTCTGAGAAACATCATCATGCATTTTCTCATCTCATCTCATATTACCTAGTCTACCCTTCCAGTTTGGCCTGCCATCATACTCTTACATCCATTTGTTTCCAGCTCAGCATTGGAGGATTGTCAGATTTCTCCAAATCTATGACATAAATGTATATGTGCTGTGGGTGTCATGTCTTTCTGGGCCCCTACAATTCCTCAACAGGAATTTATGTTAACTATTTTACTCCTCCTTGCACCCTCTGAGGTTCAGTCTTGGATAGAGTTTACCAAGGTGGTCGGTGGTACTTCTAGTTGCTAAGTCATATCTGACTCTTGCAGCCGCCATGGACTGCAGCCTTTCAGGCTTCCCTGTCTGTGGGATTTCCCAGGCAAGAATACTGGACTGGGTTTTCATTTCTTTCTTTAGAGGATCTTCCCAACCCAGGGATCAAACCCATATTTTCTGCATTACTGGCTGATTCTTTCCTGTTGAACCACCAGGGAAGCCCATGGCCACATCAAATGAAGCATGGGCTGCTTTTGAAGGGACTAATTGTTTTTGAGAGTTCTCATAAAAAAAGAAAAAAATCTGTGTTGAGAACAAGGAAAAATATCCATCCCCAGGGTTCCTGCATCTGACCCTCAACCTCCTGATTTAATCACTTCATTTTAGAATAATGCACTTGGCTATTTCTATATCAGCCACTGACTTTTCCCAAGGAATGAATAATAAGGAAGATGTGACATTAACTAAGGCAGCCTTGCCATAAGGTTAAAGGAACACAGACAGCTGATCTCCAGGATCCCTGGACCTTTGGAACAAATGCCATTTCTCCCTAGGGCCAAGATGCTTTGAATTAAAATTTATTAAAAACAAAATGAACTGGCTATTTTTGGACTAGAATTTGACCTATTACCTAAATCCTGGTTGAAAATGCTTTGTGAAGTTCTGTTTAAGAGCAGTCATTTCTTTTTGTTTCTTCCTCTCTCTTTCATTCTTTCTTTTTCCTTCTATTACATATAATATCCTAAGTGAACAATGCAAAGAAATAGAGGAAAACAATAGAATTGGAAAGACTAGAGGTCTCTTCAAGAAAATTAGAGATACCAAGGGAATATTTCATGCAAAGATGGGCACAATAAAGGACAGAAATGGTATGGACCTAACAGATATAGAAGATATTAAGAAGAGGTGGCAAGAATACACAGAAGAACTATAAGAAAAAAAGATCTTAATGACCCATATAACCACGATGGTGTGGTTACTCACCTAGAGCCAGACATCTTGGAGTGCAAAGTCAAGTGGGCCTCAGGAAGCAATACTACAAACACAGCTAGTGGAGGTGATGGAATTTCAGTTGAGATATTTCAAATCCTAAAAGATGATGCTGTGAAAGTGCTGCACTCAATATGCCAGCAAATTTGGAAAACTCAGCAATGTCCACAGGACTGGAAAAGGTCAGTTTTCATTACAGTCCCAAAGAAAAGGGCAATGCCAAAGAATGCTCAAACTACTGCACAATTGTGCTCATTTTACATGCTAGCAAACTAATGCTCAAAATTCTCTAAGCTAGGCTTCAACAGTATGTGAACTGAGAACTTCCGGATGTTCAAGTTGGATTTAGGAAAGGCAGAGGAACCAGATATCAAATTGCAAACATCTGTTGGATCATAGAAAAAGCAAACGAATTCCAGAAAAACATCTACTTCTGCTTCACTGAATACACTAAAGCATTGACTGTGTGGATCACAATAAACTGTGGAAAATTCTTAAAGGTATGAAAATACCAGATCACCTTACCTACCTCCTGAGAAACCTATATGCAGGTCAAGAAGCAACAGTTAGATATGGAACAACAGACTGGATCAAAACTGAGAAAAGGAGTATGACAAGCCTGTAAATTGTCACTCCGCTTATTTAACTTATATACAGAGTACTTTAGGCAAAATTCTGGGCTTCATGAAGAACAAGCAGGAATTAAGATTGGCGGGAGAAATATCAATAACCTCAGATATGCACATGACACCACCCTTATGCATGCAGAAAGTGGAAAGGAACTGACGAGCCTCTTGATGAAAGTGACAGAGGAGAGTGAAAAAACTGGCTTAAAACTGAATATTCAAAAAAATGAAGATCATGGCATCTGGTCCTATCACTTCATGGCAAATAGATGGGGAAGCAATGGAAACAGTGACAGACTTTATTTTCTTGCACTCCAAAATCACTGGACTTGTTGACTGCAGCCATGAAATTAAAAGACGCTTGCTCCTTCGAAGAAAAGCTATGAGAAATTTAGACAGCATATTAAATAGCAGAGACATTACTTTGCCAACAAAGATCTGTATAGTCAAAGCTATGGTTTTTCCAG